CGATGCTGCCTGAGGTGACAGTAGAAACTTGTCGAGGTTACTGTTATCTGCACACAAGTTCATATATCATTCCATTTTATTGTTAGGTTATAGGTACATCTAGCAGCAGGAGGTGGATAAGATCAGAGCTCTACATTTCTCACCAGCCAGATGTTGTGTCAGGGTAACGGGGGTTTGTCGTGATCAACCTGCTGCTGATCCCAACTAAAGTTATCTGATATATTTAGGTTAACTAGACGTGTTTTACTGTACCTCTAAAGATCTAATTTGTTATTGAAGGAAGGCAACACAAGTGTACGTTGGCTCAGTCCTTTCACTTTTTCTGCATCCGGAATGCCACAAACCTTTAGCCTACTGCCAAGGCCTCCAGTAGGGGCATTTTAATGGTATTTTAGCACAGCACTAGCCTGGTGTGTTACTGGCCCCCGTCTACCAGGCCGACAGACATGTAGACTGACAGAAAGTGCTGTTGAAACAGACGGAAACGTTCGTACTGTCGGATAACCTCCATCTATCGCACATAATTTCGCCAGTGATCACCGTAACAGTGTGAGTTGGCAGCCATAATGTGTTTCGTGTTTAAGTGAACGTATCTAAGAATCACTTTAATTTTGAGTATAGTACTAAGTGGGTGAGAGCAGTGTTATGAAGGTACGGTGTGTGTGTGTGTGTGTGTGTGTGTGTGTGTGTGTGTGTGTGTGTTATTGTTAATACCAAGTAATATGTCTAAAGTCACCGGGGAGTCTGGCCACTGAGAGGAGACTTTCTGCCTGTGTTTAAAGGTCAAGGTTTATGGTATATGCAACAGTTAGTTAGAGCCGTGACTACAACCTTAGTCTCGGTGGTAGCCATTAAAGTAAAACGTCTATTTAACGGACTATATCGAGAGGAAAGTCCATTATAACAAAGGTCCGTTAGATTTGAAACCTCCATCTAACGAACTCTCTCTCTCTCTCTTCCAGTGCCACAAGAGTCTTAGGCACAGTCACACAAAAAACTATCTATACAATATCGTGTTGAAAAAATATGACACAACGGACAAAGGATTTTGACAACCCTACCGAGACAATGGGAGTCACAGTGTTCATTCTGAAATTCATCGATCACCTTAAGTACAGATAGTTTGTTTGAGTGACTGTACATGAACAAACAAGTATATATATCTGTCTCTGTACGTATATCTGTCTCCTCTCTGAAGCCAGGTGTCTGCAGCTGTGGCCAAAGGCTTCCTCCCCTTGACACAGTGACTCGGTTCATACAGTAATCTGCCTCGTCCAAAATATGTTCAGGAGAATGGGATTTACATGTTGTAGTGTCATGAGGAGTCTGTTGTTGTTGTTGTTATTATTGTTGTAGTGTCACTAGAAATCTGTTGTTGTTGTTGTTGTTATTATTATTGTTGTAGTGTCATGAGGAGTCTGTTGTTGTTGTTGTTGTTGTTGTAGTGTCACTAGAAGTCTGTTGTTGTTGTTGTTGTTGTTGTTGTTGTAGTTGTAGTGTCACGAGAAGTCTGTTAGTGTTGTTGTTGTTGTTGTTGTTGTTATTGTTGTAGTGTCACGAGAAGTCTGTTAGTGTTGTTGTTGTTGTTGTTATTGTTGTAGTGTCACGAGAAGTCTGTTGTTGTTGTTGTTGTTGTTATTGTTGTATTGTGTAGTGTCGAGAAGTCTGTTGTTGTTGTTGTTGTTTATTTTTTGTTGTTGTTGTTGTTGTTGTAGTGTCACGAGAAGTCTGTTAGTGTTTATATCTGAAGGGAATAATTACTCCTGTCGTGTATTGAACTGTACTTGTCGATATTCGCTAGCCCTCCCCCCTCCCTCCCCCTTCCCTCTCCCTTCCCTCTCCCCCCTCCCCCCTTTATATAATATCTTAATTGGTTTAGTTTCCCCAGAGGAATACCTGATCGCCGCCCCCTTCCCCCTCTCTCTCCTTACTTCCCCACCTTCCTTCCCTCTCCCCTCACCGGTATTTGACCTTTCGGTTTCTTCATAATGACTATTTGTGGTGATGGCGTGTGGGTGTAGTAATGGTGTCTAGGGTGTGGTGATAGTGTCTATGGTGGGGTGATGGTGTCTGGTGTGTGATGTGTGTGCATGTCAGATATAGTGTCTAGGTGTGGTGATGGTGTCAGTGTTGGCATGGTGTCTGGGTGTTGGTGGTGTCTGGGTGTGGTGATGGTGTCTGGGTGTGGTGGTGGTGTCATGGTGTGGTGATGGTGTCTGGGTGTGGTGATAGGTGTCTTGGTGGGTGATATGGTGTCTGGGTGTGGTGATAGTGTCAGTGTTGTGTGGTGATAGTGTCTGGGTGGTGGTGTCTGGGTGATAGTGTCTGGGTGTGGTGATAGTGTGTGGTGTCTGTGGTGATGGTGTCTGGGTGTGGTGATGGTGTCTGGGTGTGGTACAGTGATAGTGTCTGGGTGTGGTGATGGTGTCTGGGTGTGGTGATGGTGTCTGGGTGTAGGGGTGTGCGGTGATAGTGTCTGGGTGTGGTGATAGGTGTCTGGGTGTGGTGATAGTGTCTGGGTGTGGTGATAGTGTCTGGGTGTGTGTGGTGTCTAGGTGTGTGATGGTGTCTGGGTGTGGTGATGGTGTCTGGGTGTGGTGATGGTGTCTGGGTGTGGTGAGGGTGTGGTGATGGTGTCTGGGTGTGGTGATGGTGTCTGGGTGTGGTGGTGTCTGGGTGTGGTGATGGTGTCTGGGTGTGGTGATGGTGTCTGGGTGTGGTGATGGTGTCTGGGTGTGGTGAGGTGTTCAGTGGTGTCTGGGTGTGGTGATGGTGTCTGGGTGTGGTGATGGTGTCTGGGTGTGGTGATGGTGTCTGGGTGTGGTGATGGTGTCAGGTGTGGGTGTGTGATGATGATGGTGTCTGGGTGTGGTGGTGTCTGGGTGGTTATGGTGTCTGGGTGTGGTGATAGTGTCTGGGTGTGGTGATGGTGTCTGGGTGTGGTTATGGTGTCTGGGTGTGGTGATAGTGTCTAGATGTGGTGATAGTGTCTGCGTGTGTGTGGTGTCTGGGTGTGTGTGGTAATGGTGTCAAGGTGTGGTGATAGTGTGTCTAGGTGTGGTTATGGTGTCTGGGTGTGGTGATGGTGTCTGGGTGTGTGTGGTTGGTGTCAGGTGTGTGTGATGGTGGCTAGGTGTGGTGATGGTGTCTGGGTGTGGTTATGGTGTCTGGGTGTGGTGATAGTGTCTAGGTGTGGTTATGTCTAGGTGTGGTGATGTGTCTAGGTGTGGTGTCTAGGTGTGGTGATGGTGTGGGTGTGATGATGGTGTCTGGGTGTGGTGATGGTGTCTGGGTGTGGTGATGATAGTGTCTGGGTGTGGTAGTGTCTGGGTGTGGTGATGGTGTCTGGGTGTGGTGATAGTGTCCTGGTGTGTGATGGTGTCTGGGTGTGGTGATAGTGTCTGGTGTGTGGTGGTGTATGTGGTATGGTGTCTGGGTGTGGTGATAGTGTCTAGGTGTGGTTATGGTGTCTAGTGGTGTGGTGATGGTGTCTAGATGTGGTGATAGTGTCTGGAATGTGGTAATGGTGTCAAGGTAGTGGTGATAGTGTCTAGGTGTGGTTATGGTGTCTGGGTGTGGTGATGGTGTCTGGGTGTGGTTATGGTGTCTGGGTGTGGTGAGTGTCTGGGTGTGGTGTGGTAGGTCAAGGTGTGGTGATGGTGTCTGGGTGTGGTGATGGTGTCTAGGTGTGGTGATGGTGTCAGGGTGTGGTGATGGTGAAAGGTGTGGTTGTCTGGTGTGTGGGTGTGGTGATGGTGTCTGGGTGTGGTGTGGTAATGGTGTCAGGTGTGGTGATGGTGTCTGGGTGTGGTGATGGGTGTCTAGGTGTGGTGATAGTGTCTAGGTGTGGTGATAGTGTCTAGGTGTAGTGTGGTAATGGTGTCAAGGTGTGGTGATGGTGTCTAGGTGTGGTGATAGTGTCTAAGTGCGGTGATAGTGTCTAGGTGTGGTGATGGTGTCTAGGTGTGGTGATAGTGTCTAGGTGTGGTGATAGTGTCTAGGTGTGGTGATAGTGTCTAGGTGTGGTGACGGTATCCAGGTGTAGTGACTTAACACCTGACAACAGTGACTTAACGCCTGATAACAGTGACTTAACGCCTGACAACAGTGACTTAACATCTGACAATAGTGACTAACACTTGACAACAGTGACTTAACGCCTGACAACAGTGACTTAACACCTGACAACAGTGACTTAACACCTGACAACAGTGACTTAACACCTGACAACAGTAACTAACACTTGACAACAGTGACTTAACACCTGACAACAGTGACTTAACACCTGACAACAGTGACTTAACACCTGACAACAGTAACTAACACTTGACAACAGTGACTTAGCCTCTGTAAGCTCTCTTGCTGCTCCACGAACCCCGAGATTCAGGCTCGTGAATCCGAAGCATCGGTGAACAGAATAATGCATCAGTCTCTATACCGCTTCGGGTTCACGAGTCTGAATCTCGGGGTTCGTGACTGTACATGGGTGTAGTACACTTATTACACCCATGTACAGTCACGAACGTAGTACACTTATTATGGAGACCTGTGGTGTAATGGTCAGCATGCTCGCCTGGCAAGCGAGGGACTCGGGCGCGATCCTCGGCAGAGTGAAACTATGGGCAAGTTTCTTTACGCCATTTGCCTCTGTCTACCCAGCAGTAATTGGGGATCGTGTTCCGGGGTAATGGTTAGCCAGTGCAGTTGGCTAGTTGTCCGGTCTTCTCGGACTATTCCTTGACACTGTGTCATGTATTTCGTTAACTTAGGGTGTGGTTGTTGTGTTGGCGACAGCTTCTGCACCTCAAACAAATTCACGCCTAGGTGGCCATAGGGCCGGCCATCCTCGTTACACGAGAGGCAACCATTGTATGAAATATATAGTACACTTAATGTGGCGGCGAGTGTTATATATGTGCCCTCAGGGATGTGTGCTAGTGTACAGGGGTGTTCAGGGTTGTGTTAGTGTACAGAGGTGGTAGGAGGTGTGGTACACTTACGGTGGCGGGTGTGGCGTCAACTATACACTGGAGGAGGTCAGGCGAGGTCACTCACTGCTAACACTTGATCATCTTCTCCCGCCTCCCCCGCACGCTCCTCGCCCGGGACTCTAACCTTTCGTGACCCCTGGTGACCTGGAGATGTGACTGCGACCCCTGGTGACTTAAGAAGTAGACTGTGACCCGTTGTGACCTCTGGCAGCTGTTTTTGTCTCTTGGAAGTTGTGACCTCTTGTGTCCTGAAGGGAGCGACTTCAAGCCCTCTGGTGACTTGGGCCGGTAATTGTGAGCCCCTGTGACCTGGGAAATGATTTCGACCCCAGTGGAAGACTAGCGTGACCATGAGTGACCCTTAATGGCCTTGAGCAGCGAGGTTAGTTCCTTGTGGCCCACTAGAGGTTGCAGACTTCTGAGCACCGCCGCCTGGGGTCTGGCTGGCACTCTAGGTCATAACAACAGTATATAATATCCCTGATGATACAGCGTCCACAACGAGGAACTCCACGACCGCGGCTACAGACTGCTGCCTCTACCAGCCCCATAGGCACTGCACCTGGAGCGGCACTACGGCAGGAGCGGCACCGAACCAAGAATGCACTGCAACGAAAGCGGCACTGCACCACCACCCCGAGACACCGACTGGGAGAACTCCGCCCCGCCCCGCCCGCCCTGCCAACTTCTGGCCCCATGTGGTGCCAACACCTCCCCCGTGCCAGTCGTCCACCCCCGTGCCTCCACCCTCGTGCCAGTCGTCCACCCCCGTGCCTCCACCCTAGTGCCAGTCGTCCACCCCCCTCGTGCCAGTCGTCCACCCCTGCTCTCCACCCTAGTGCCAGCGTCCACCCCCTGTGCCTCCATGCCGTCCACCCCCGTGCTCCTCCACCCTAGTGCCAGTCGTCCATCCCGTGCTCCACCCCTGTCCACCCCCCGTGCCTACCTCGTGCCAGTCGTCCACCCCCTCCTCCACTAGTGCCAGTCGTCCACCCCGCCTCCACCCTCGTGCTAGTCGTCCATCCCCGTGCCTCCACCCTAGTGCCAGTCGTCCACCCGTGCCTCCACCCTCGTGCCAGTCGTCCACCCCCGTGCCTCCACCCTCGTGCCAGTCGTCCACCCCTAGTCATCAATAAGTCAGTTCTTCATCACTGAGTCTTTCATCACTGAGTCAGTTCTTCATCACTGAGCCAGTCAGTTCTACGTCACTGAGTCAGTCAGTCCTTCATCAGTGTACCATCACCACCGCCCTATGCATACACACTGTGTTATTGTAAACATCACATCATATAAACACAAGAAGGTAGTTGAGACAAACACACACTGGGATGGGACAGATATTTATTGGTGGCCACACAGGCACAAGTGTAGTAGTAGTAACAACATTACAAGTCAACAAACAGTAACAAATACAACGTGGCAGTCCGGGGGATGGAATGTCTTTAAATAATACTAGCGGGCAACACAGTGTTTTCTTCCTTGGTGTATAAGTGTTGTTGTTGTGTACTCCCCGGGCTTCACACGTCTACTGGTCGTACCACAAGAATTATTACCGCTGACAGGAAGTGGGAGAATGTTTCTCCAGGTGTAGTTTCGTATTCGTGTCATTGTGCGGTGCAGGTGAACGCCAGACGCTACTTATTACATACGCTGGCGTTTGATGGTTATGATGGACGTTGGTGAGCGTAATCCATTACTGGAACCGATGGATGACGCTGTCCAGGAAGGAGTCGACAGACTGGCCACCGGTAGAGGACAGGTCGAGCCGATGGTTGGGTCCGGGGAACGGCCTTGGGGCCACCGTACGCTGACGACTCCTAGGTGGTGGAGGTGGAGGGGGTGCCCGGACGGGTACTGGGGCCTGACCGATGTCTTCATAATCGAATGTTGGGCCAGCTACCGGTAACGGTGGCTGGGAAAAGTGGGAGGCGGCAGATACTGGTTGTGGACGTCGTTGTACTGCTTGTTGTGGACGTCGTTGTACTGCTTGTTGTGGACGTGGCTGAGCTCTGGGTCGTGGAGCTGAAGGGGGAGGTCTGGACAACACCTGGTCGCTGAAGGAGGAGGAACCGCCCTCGTGGACGTAGGCTTGCTCAAGGTGCTTGTACAAATCGTAGTTACCCAGGTCGACGTAGTTTGGGTCGGTGGTCTCGTCGATGTGGTTTGGGTCTTGCACGCCAGCAGTGTATGTACGGGACTCCCTCTCCCCGAGATCGTTGATGAAGGAGTAGTTGCCTATGACGGTGCCGTTAGGGTAACGGGTCTCATGCTTGGTCGAGCCATCAGCGCCCGCGTACTCGTACACGAACGCCCCCGTCTGGGGGTCGATTCTGCAACAGAGACTCACCTTAGACGTACACACTCTTACCTTGACTGTCACACCCTTACCTTCGTATGCTGTGACACTAACAACTTCATGCTCCTGTTACCATTGTGAGAACTGTCATCCTGACTCTGTCATAGTAACGAATACCCATTGATGTACGCACTGCTACATTCCAACTGTGCATGTCACCACCCTAGTGGCTATACCTTCACAATAATTTGAGGAACAACCCTATAAAGACTTCCATCAGAAAATGACAGCTATAAATGGTTCCCAAAAGTCTACCAAAACACCACAGTCAACCTTCATGGCGAGGCAATAAACAACCTCTTGGATTAGAATCCTCTAAATCGGTAGGCGAGATAAAAAAAAAAACCATTGCACACGGGGCAGGGGAGGTTACCTAGTGTCAGAGATGCCAAAGTGGGCAGCCAGCCAGACCTAAACTTCCTACACTCAACATTTGTTATCAGTCTTGGCTTTAAGTTTGGTTAAGATTAAGAGTTTACCACTGTTGCTGATAGGCTCTTCTAGATAACATGTTGAAGCACTCGGTCATATCACCTCCAGACCTTCTATAGGTTATATCACAGTGGGAAGACCCAACAGTATATTAGCCCTTGGAGATGGCGACCAGAGGCGTCTAAAATATTTAAACATATCCTCGTCGAAATATTCAAAAGTTCTCTCGATTAAACTCATTATTTTGAAGCCTTGTTTATTTATTTCTTTAGCCAAGTGTTTCCTAAACTCTAAATTCTTATCCATTAATTTTGACATACAGTATTGCGACTCTCTCCTACATTAGAATGATTGATTCTCATATATACAGTCCTGCATTTATATTTTTCTGGATGATATTTTAAAAGAATTTATCTAACCAGCTCTTCGTCTCGTTGATAATTTATCGTCTTGCAGCTCTATGACATTCCACAAGATCAGTTTTTCGCCTGAATGTTTTAGTGTCATCCGCATACATGTATAACCCCCCCCCCCCCTCTCTATAAAGTCATAATATAAACAACAAATAATAATACTGGCCCCAAGAACGGTCCCTGGGGCAGTACTTGGGTCCTCCTTCAGGTTACCCCCATCAACTATCTCTCTATGTTCATAAGGTAGAGCTGAGACTGAGAGAGTATGGTTAAAGAGACAACTCACCTGCGTTCGTCCACCAGGATAGGGACGGGTGTGGTGGTGGGACCTTGATTCCCCGTTGGTCTGCCTCCTGCCACCGCCTGAAGCACAAAACACCTTTTATAGTGAATGGTTGTATTGAGGAGAATAAATTAAAGCCAGTGTATAAGATGGGGATTCTCTCTCTCTCTCTCTCTCTCTCTCTCTGCTGGTTTATATGAGGAAGCTGAGCAGGGGATGGAGGTGGTCGTGTGGCCCTTGCTGCTGCTGGTCGTGCTGGTGCTGCTCGTGTTGGTGGTGGCCGTGATGCCTGTTGCTGGGGTGAAAGATGTAAATAATGATGTAGAGGATGCCGAGGAGGGAGATAGGAAGAGAGAAATAGAGGGAGAAAGGTAGAGAGAGAGAGAGAGAGAGAGAGAGAGAGAGAGAGAGAGAGAGAGAGAGAGAGAGAGGAGGGTAGTTTAAGAGAGAGAGGAGGCTAGGTAGATTGAGAGAGAGAGAAAGAGTGAGAGTTAACGCTCCAGAGGTGATTTACGCCCAAGTTCATCAAACATAAATTTCAAGGTCAAATTTAAAACTTAAATCAATCAATTTTAAAAGATCACCAAAATTCATAACTACGTTCGCCAAAGTTAAACTAAGATAGCCAAATTAAACCTTTGATCACCCAATTTTAAAACTAAGATGACCTAATTTAAACCAAAGATCACTTAATTTTGAACTAAGATCATCATATAAAACATTTGATAACCTGTTTAAGCTTAAGATCACCCAATTTCAACCTAACATCACCCAATTTCAACATCAAGATCAACCAATTTCAATTTAAGACCACCCAATTTTAAACTAAGATCACCTAATTTCAACTTAATATCACTCAATTTCAACATAAGATCGCCACTAAGATCACGCAATTTTAAACTATGTTCACCCAATTTTAAACTAAGATTACTAAGATCACCCAATTTCAACCTAGAGATCACCCAATTTCAACCTGAGATCACCCAATTTCAACCTGAGATCACCCAATTCAACCTGAGATCACCCAATTTCAACCTAAGATCACCCAATTTCAACCTGAGATCACCCAATTTCAACCTGAGATCACCCAATTTCAACCTAAGATCACCCAATTTCAACCTGAGATCACCCAATTTTATACCTAAGATCACCCAAACACCCGAGACTCACCTGTGGTAGGGGCTGGAAGTTAGGAGAGTCGACGTAATCAAAGACGTAGTCGAAGTCAGGACGTTGGGCGGTGACCACCAGCAGGCAGCCCAACCCCACCTATGGCAATTATTACTTATTACTTCTGTGTTGTGGTAGTGTGATTGTGGGTGGTTGATAGGAAGTGTGATTGTGGGTGGTTGATAGGTAGTGTGATTGTGGTTGGTTGTGATAGGTAGTTGTGGACGTGGTGGTAATGTGGTTGTGGTGGTAATGTGTTGGTTGATAGGTAGTGTGGTTGGAGTAGGTGGTGGTAGCGTGATTGTGGTGGTGGTAGTGGTATGGTTGTGATGGTAATGTGGTTATAGTATTGAGACTGTGGTTGGTTGTGGTGGTAGTGCAGTTGTGATACATAGTTGTGGGTATGGTGGTTCACACACACACACACACACACACACACACACACACACACACACACACACACTTAAGCTGGAAATGTATATTCAACTTTTATTGCTGCACATTTTCAGAAATAAGAAATGACTTGCGAAAATCTACAAATTGTCACACGGATTGTAATTCTCTGTAATCATTTGTAATATTAATGTATTCCTGTAGTGAGGTGTTGAGTGTTTTAAACTGTATAATAATAATACAGTTAAACCTCCATCTCATGTACAGTAGTTCGTTAGATGGAGTGTTTCACATTTAACGGACTCTTCGGTATCTATATATTTCATTTGATGGAGGTTTCACATTTAACGGACTCTTCGATATAACGGACTTTCCTCTTCATATTGTCCGTTAACATAGAGATATAACATGAGTAATTGTAACTCCTTAAGACAAGAGCGGCGTCACTCTCGGGGGTCACCTGACACGTGTGGGAGCGAGGCTGTGTAGAGGCTGGGGGGGGGGGTGGGACGGGCTGAGAAAGTCGTGGGTTTCAGACAGCATTTTTTTGGTTGCGATTATGAAGTGCTATAAAAGCCTTTCCTAACTGATTGATTGACTGAATGACTCACTGACTCACCCACTGTTTGACTGACTGACTCACTGACTCACCCACTGCTTGACTGACTGACTTACTGATTGACTGACTGACTGACTAACTGTGGAATATTTTCTCATCCGGCCATTTGTGTAGCGCTTCCATTAGAATGGTTATTGACTTTAATTCTTGGTCTTACTAAAAAAACTAAACATATTGTCAATTATATATATATATTATTTTTCACTTTTCATTTCAGAGAGACACAAGTTTCCAGGTTTTTAGAAAGACTTTATGTATAGATTATGAATTGTCACTGATAAAACCGACGCTCCCTCTTCTGGCCCCACACTGAACCCGTTACTTGAAGCCTTTGAAAACGATCTCTTACTTAACCAAGCAGGAAATCCTTACGTCTGATTAGTGAGTAACAAATGATGTATTAGTATATCTGACGGAAAAATTCAGTCCATTGAAGTGTCAGTCAGCAGCGGCGACTATTCAGCTGTCAGTCAGGGTTGTTTTTTATATTGTACACCGCAACCAATGTAAAAGTAATCAATGGCTACTTCCGGAGGCCGCCATCATGATAATCTCAGCTTATAATGTAACCTATATTAATTACAGCGATTATGACTTGCACTATTGAAGGAAGAAATTAATGGTTCCGTAACTGAAAATTTCCCCAAAGAAATTATGGAATTATTTTGAGTCTTTTAGAAGCAATAAAATAAATGAAATAATAATAATATTTATAACTGATCCTTTCACATGCTTTCACCCTTAGAATTTTCCGAAAAGTTTATCCTTTTTTTTTTCATTGTTTAGATTGGTTCTTCACTACTACAAGCGGTCACTATAGTTCTTGAGGATTGTCTGAAGTTGAAAGTACAAATGTTACCAGAACTACCTGTCTCCTAGGAAAATATATTTATTAACGCGTCCATCACCTGGGGCCCGACCAGTGCTCCAGACCCCTGCCTGTATTATCACCACCTCCAGATTATTGCGAAACACGGCCTCAGGAGCTGCCTGTAAACGGTGAGGCAGGCGAGTCGTTCTCCTTGACTCTCACAACCTGACAGCAGACGAATGGGGGATAACTGTTTGATTATTGTTGTTAGTGAATGGAAAGTGATTCATTTTGACGTCCCTCGTTGTCTTAACTAAAGTTTACTTATGTTTCCTTCGTTAAGTTGATGTTAGGCTCGTAATAATGATAGTCACTTATAGTTAGATGGCCAACTTAACATCTTTTTTCTTTCATCTACGAAATCTCGTGAAAAGTTGAGTGTGGTGTTCTGTCCCTGGTCACTGGGCGAGTCTCACACACACACTGACACTCTCTGTAAGTCTACACGACAAGCATCATCAGGTGTTGACAGTACAGGTATACTGAATTATCCTGTTATAAGACGATGATCAAATATTCTTCGATTTAGTCACTCGTATTCTATCCCAGGGAAGAAAGTTGTAAACGTATCCTCGAGAATGATCAACATAAAAGACTTTATCACTTTATCATCGAACTGTCCATCAGCACCGGGGGATGGGTGGCGTGCAGGCCTGTAGCAGCGGCCGCTCTCCTGACTGCCTTGACTACTGCACCGTGGCGGAGACTTCACTATGGTATCAGTTACCCGGTGCTTCAACATGGCGGCGTGCACTAACACTCACCCAGAGCTTCAACATGGCTGTGTTCACTATTTGTCGTGGTGGAGTTGTAGAGTGGACGGCGGCCGCGGTGTGTCTGAGACAAAAGTGAATGTGGTCTGTGTTATATAGTCCAGCAGGCTGCCCTTCACACCCCCCCCTCATTCTCCTTCTCCCCTTCCCCTCCCCCATCCGTGGCCTGCACCCCTTCCCCCTCCCCCATCCTTGGCCTGCACTCCTTCCCCCTCCCCCATTCCTGGCCTGTTCCCCCTCTCTAGCCTGCATTCGAACCCCCTTCCTGGACTGCATTTTTCCCCCTCCAAAGCCTAGACCTTTTCGCTGCCACTTGCTTTGTCGTCCCAGCCTATGGCGACATACTATCCTAAGGCATTATCCCACCCTATGGTGACATACCAGCCTATGGCATTATCCCAGCCTATGGCGATACACTAGCCTCTACCATCACCCCACTCCTACCCACCACCACACACAACACAACCATCCCACCCACCACAACCATCCCACCCACCACAACCATCCCACCCACTACCACCATCCTACCCACCACCACCACCCTACCCACTACCACCATCCTACCAACCATCACACCACTACCACCACCACCACACCCACCACCACCATCCCACCCACTACCACCATCCTACTCACCACCACCCTACCCACTACCATCACCCCAACCACCACCACACACCCACTGCCACCATTCCATCTACTACCACCGACCCTACCACTACACCAACCACCACCCCAACCACCACAACCACCTCAACCAATACCACCATCCAAACAACCAACCACCCCACCCACTACCACCATCCCAACCACACAGCCCCAACCACAACCACCAACCACTATCACCAACCACCACCACCCAGAAACTATCACTTCGTCCTGTACTCCTGTATCAGATTAACCTACCAACCTACTGGCCTGCACTCCCCATCGCAACCTGCACCTCAACGTTTTCTCCCCTTCCTCCTCCCCTACCATCGTCTCTTGGACCACCTTCTTGCATCATAGTCGACCTGTGACCTTTTATACCTGTACCGGTACAGAGAGGTTGACCTTACAGTGATCCAGTCCCCAACCCCCTCACCTCCCCTCACCCCTCCCTCCCCCTCACCCCCACCATCACCCCCCATCCTCCATCCCTTCAGGCCTTCACTCTTCCCCTCTCCCCCTCCCTCTTCTCACATTTTCTCACTTCCTAACCTTCTCCTCATCCCCCCCTCCTACCTTTCCCCTTCTCTCTCACCTTCACTCTCCTTCACCCGTCTTCATTTTCTCTTCCACACTTCCTCATTACCTCACTCTCCTCCCTCTCACTTTGTAATGTATTTTCAATTCTTCCTCTCCCCACATTTCCCCTCTTCCCTCCTCCTTTGTGCCCTTCCCTCACTTCTCTCCGATTTCCTCCTCCTCCCCTTCTCTTCTCTCTCCCCTCCTTTACACCTTTCCTTTCTCTCCCTTCTCTTCCTCTCCTCTCCTCCACTCATCTCTTCTTCTACACCCTCTCTTCCCCTTCCCCTCGCCACTCCCCTCTCCTCTTCCCCTTTTCTTCACACCCTCCCCTCCCCCTCACCACACCCTCTGACCACACTACACAATATGTCCGCTTTGAGTGTGAACAAGGCTTCATGTATACACATCTGATGTGTACATAGCTGCTGTAATAGTTCTATTGTGCTCACTGCTTGTGTGTACATAACTTGACTTGTGTACTTTGGGTTTTCTGTACACTGTTATTGTGTGCATGTTTTTGTGTTTATTCCTGGAATGTACACTGCAGCGTGTACACTACTGAGATGTACAGTGTTTGGTATACAATATTGGTGTGCACAGTGGCTGGTTTGTACACTGTACACTGGTAGATGTGTACTACTGATGTACACCGTACCTGTCGTATGCACTGCGGGGTGTACAGTGTCTGGTTTGATTTTTTTTTAGCTTATACTGCCGTTGTGTACACTACCTTGGGTTAAGTCATTGATGTATATATTGGGTAAAAACTACCCCGGGTGTACATGACTGTTGTGTAGCCTGGTACATTATTTGGTAATCAACTACTTGGTCTCTATATACAGTACCTAGTGTGTACAGTGCTAGATGTGTACTAGATGATGTACACCGCTGGGACACAGGTATGCTCTAGTGAACTTAACAGACTTAATAATGGAGGGTGTAAAGGGGGAGGAGGGGGGCAGGGAAGGGGAGGTGGCAGGGGGGCTGGGCAGGGCAGGGAAGGGGGTGGCGGGGTGGGAGCAGGGCAGGAGCAGGGGGGGGTGTGTCGTGAAAGGAAGCAAATGTGAGAACCAGATAAGTAGGAGACACACACACACACACACACACACACACACACACACACACATACATAATCTGTATGAATCCCATGTACACAGTGACTGGAGAGAGGGACACACACACACACACACACACACACACACACACACACAAAAAGTAACCTGTATGAACCTATGTACACAGTGGCTGGAGACGTACACACACACACACACACACACACAGCTCAGATGGGGTTTTGTTGTTGAGGGAGAGTATCATGGTAGATCACATCCTGTACTCCAGTGAGAATGAGTGAATGAATGACAGGGAACAGCGCGCCGTGTGTGTGTGTGTGTGTGTGTGTGTGTGTGTGTGTGTGTGTGTGTGTCGACCCCCTCACCTGAGAGTCGATTACTCCACATCGTAACGCTTGGAGGAGCTCCGCACGAGAAGGTGTCAATGCTTTCGAGTTAGCCCGACTGCAAACCAAGGCAGACAAGCGCCAACGCCAGAAAGACGCTGCCACCGCGCCTCCCGCAGTAGATGGAGCCCTCCACATGTGCAACGAATGTCAAAGACGCTGCGGGTCCCGTATTGGCCTCTTTAGTCACCTCAAAACTCACCAACGAAGGTGACATCCCTAATAACTCATATCATTGCATCATAGCTGGATGATCGTCAAACTCGATTCCGAGTGACAGCAAAGTAGTAGTAGTAATGTGTGTGTGTACGTGCGTGTACGTGTGCCTGTACGTGCGTTTGTGTGTGTACGTGTGTGCGTACGTGTGTGTGTGTGTGTGTGTGTGTGTGTGTGTGTGTAAGTGTATGTGTGTGTGTGTATGATGTGGTATATGTGTGTGTGTTAAAAGCATATTGCTAATCTAAAACCTCTTTCTCTATAATGGAAAGTGGCTGGAAACTAGTAATACACACACAGACACACACACACAGACACACACACACACAGACACACACACACACACAGACACACACACACACACACACACACACACGTACATCCACACACGTACGCCCACGAAAAAATTATTCGGCACCCGTGTTATATTTTATCACGCCGTAAGGATGCCGAATAATTTTTAGTGGATGTACGTGTGTGTGTGTGTGTGTGTCTGTGTGTGTGTCTGTGTGTGTGTGTGTGTACTAGTTTCCAGCCACTTTCCATTATCGAGAAAGAGGTTTTAGATTAGCAATATGCTTTAACACACACACACACGTACACACACATACAAGTACACGCACGCACACACATTCACACACACACGCACGTACACGCACACACACACACACACACACGTACGCACACACACACGCACACACACACACATAAGCACACGCACGCACACGACCACACACACACACGCACGTACAGGACACGTACACACACACACACACACACACACACACACACACACACACACACACACACACACACACAGTTTTAATCAGCCACCAGAGACGAACACTACGCTAAAGAAACTTCTATCACTGTACAGTTAAAGTTATAAGAAAATGTCAAAGAGTGGATCGCCATGACTCGTTCACTCTCTTCTTTTTTCCCTTCCCCTCCCCCACTACACACCCACCCTCCCTCTCCACACCTCCCCTCCTCCTCCACTCCTGGTGTGGGCTTCTGTTTGTCACCCCCAGTCAACCAGGGCGGTGTACGGCCTGAACCAGGAACGCGCCCGGCTGGACTCGATTTGGGCTTCAATCCCTCTCTTGCATGGATATAGTGGGCTCCTCCCTACTCCCCTACTTCTGCTCCTCCTCTTCCTCCTCCTGCTTCTGCTGCTGCCCGATGCTCCCACTCCTGCTTCTGCTGCTGCTCCTGACCCTCCTGATGCTCCCCTCCTGCTTCTGCTCCTCCTCTTCCTCCCCTCCTGCTTCTGCTGCTGCTCCTGATGCCCCCTGCTTCTTCTGCTGCTCTGCCCTCCTGATGCTCCCACTCCTGCTTCTGCTCCTCCTTCCTCCTGCTTCTGCCTGCCCTGTGCCCCACTCCTGCTTCTGCTGCTGCTCCTGCAGCCCTTCTGATGCTCCCACTCCTGCTTCTGCTCCTCCTCTTCCTCCTCCTGCTTCTGCTGCTGCTCCCTGATGCTCCCACTCTTGCTTCTGCTCCCTCTTCCTCCTCCTGCTTCTGCTGATGCTCCCACTCTGTTTCTGCTGCTGCTCCTGACCCTTCTGATGCTCCCTCCTGCTTCTGCCCTCCTCTTCCTCCTCCTGCTTCTGCTGCTGCTCCCTGATGCTCCCCACTCTTGCTTCTGCTCCTCCTCTTCCTCCTCCTGCTTCTGCTGATGCTCCCTCCTGCTTCTGCTGCTGCCCCTGACACCTTCTGATGCTCCCACCTGCTGCTGCTCCTGACACCTTCTGCTGCTCCCCATCCTGCTGCAGCTCCTGACCCTTCTGCTGCTCCCACTCCTGCTTCTGCTGCTGCTCCTGACACCTTCTGCTGCTCCCACTCCTGCTCCTCCTTCCCCCGATCAATTTAGCCTTTGTACGTGTGTAATAATAATAATAATAATAATAATAATAATAAACGGTTTATTAATAGAGTTGCAGCCGGTGGCTGAAAATATACAGACTTATATTTAATTTAGACATAATGATATATTATGCATTGAATACATTTACAGGGCTGTACAGTACATAACTCAGGAGTTGTTTATTATTTTAACAATAGATGGGGTGTGTGTGTGTGCGCCTGTGTGTGTGTGTGTGTGTATGTGCCTGTGTGCGCCTCTGTGTGTGTGTGTGTGTCTCTCTCTCTCTCTGTCCATATGTGTGTGTGTGTGTGTGTGTGTGTGTGTGTGTGTGTGTGTGTGTGTGTGTGTGTGTGTGTGTGTGTGTGTGTGTGTGTGTGTCTCAGGTTGTGTGTCTGTCTCTCTCTTTGTCTAAATGTGTGTGTGTGTGTGTGTGTGTGTGTGTGTGTGTGTGTGTGTGTGTGTGTGTGTGGCCATTTGTGTATTATTTTGTGTCTTTTTGTGTACGCTCATGACTACTTTGTGACGTACTCCCTCATAACTGCTGTACAAAAAAAATGGAAGTGTTATTGTACACTCCGTGTTTCATGTACAACAAAGGGTAACTGATCACTGCTGTACACCTTCACTTTCTGATGTACTAATTCGGCGGATGTACAAATACTGGTTCGACTTTGATTGTACATTACCTTCTCGTGTACAATACTAATGTACTGTACACCCGTGGAATCTCTGTACAAGGAAATGGAGTTGGTTAGGTTAGGTTAGGTTTGGTTAGGGTTGATTTGGTTTGGTCTGGTTTGGTTTGGTTGGCCTAAGATTGCATTAGATAGGTTAGGTTAGATTGGTTTAAGTTAGCTTAGGTTAGGTTAGGTTAGGTTAGGTTACACTATGATTAATCTGGTGTATAATAATAATAAAGATTTGTTGTAGAGTCTAAATTACTGATGAATTATCTTTTGTACACTCACATAATGTACCTGTACTGTACCTGTACTGTACCTGTATTGTACTGTAGCGGGTTATTTGTACCAAAACTCATGTGATTTATGTTGTACAGTCACTCACACAAACTATCTGTACTTGGGGTGATCGACGAGTTTCAGAATGAACACTGTGACTCCCATTGTCTCGGTAGGGTTGTCAAAATCCTTCGTCTGTTGTGTCATATTTTTTCAACACAATTTTGTATAGATATTTATTTGAGTTACTGTACGGCGCAGTAGTGCACACTTATACTGTATACGTAGCCGCTGTACAATGACTTAGGGTACATGAACAATTTTATACACGAATGTACACAGAAAAGGCTGGGGTATGTACACAGGAAGATGATGTACACAGTAAACCTTTGAGATGTGTGATCATATTCGTGTACTAATATACACGTAAAGGAGTTGGTGTACAAAGACGTGATGTGTGTGTGTGTGTGTGTGTGAACAGCTGATGTACACAAACAGGACAGGTGCACTGTACAAAAACTGGCACGAGAGCTATTTTTTGTTAAGCTGTACGTACATTCCATGACTTCTCTTATTTACAGAAACGTTGGAGTGTATGTATTTATGTATGTGTGTGTGTGTGTGTGTGTGTGTGTGTGTGTGTGTGTGGTTTACTTAGTCATTCACCCGTTAACTTACCTCCGTTCACACTAATACAGAGACACTGAAAGCGAGACAAATAAACAAACAGGGAGAGAGAGAGAGAGAGAGAGAGAGAGAGAGAGAGAGAGAGAGAGAGAGAGAGAGAGAGAGAGAGAGAGATTACATGAATTGTCCCATTTTTACATTGGTGTGTTTTTAAGGTGACCTTATCTCAGGTTTGCCAATGTAAGTCTTTGTTGGCGCTAGATAATGGTTGTGTGTTGGCTGGTGTTGTGTAACACTCTGTTGGGGGTATTTGTGCGTGCGACTGTTGTTGCTACGACAGTACTACTATTGCTACTTTGTTTTTACTGTGGCCTCCAGCCTCCCCCAACAGCCACACCTTCACCACCATTTTATTAACTTAATATGAATTATCCTAATACAAACGTAGCTACCCTATAGGTGAGTTAGTTAAGCCGCAGATCTAGGCGGCTTTCATTGTCTACTACTACCACTACTTTTTTTTTTTGGCCTCCATCCTCCCCCAACAGCCACACCTTCGCCGCCATTTTATTACCTTAAAATTGAATATCCTAATACTTAAGTAGCTATCCTAGCTGTGTTGAGTTAGTTGAGCCGCAGATCTATGCGGCATTCAGTGACTGTTGCCTCATAGTCAATATCAGCAACTGTTGTCGGCTTTGGGGCCGATGCTCTCGTTCCCCTGAGGCAGAGCAAAGCCGACCGAAGGAGAGAGAAGGACAGTCGACATCTCATCCAGGCTGTAACATAACTTCTGGGCTGCCATAAGCGATATAGATATAGAATGGGGAGTGAGTAAAGTTCTCAAAGTTTTCAAGCCAAAAGGAGAGGAACACGAGGCACCATACTACAAGTTGTCTATGACCTACTTATGATTGTTGACAGTGTTGGGAACATGTGTCTCGGGCAGAGCGGTGAGAGATAAGGGCGTTACCTCTCTCTGTATTGTCGAATAACATTTCCAGCTCGATGAATTCAGGAGCAATCACACTGAGTAACATTTCCGCCGTTCGTCGTTCTCATTTATCAGTCCTGCATCCAAAAACTCGCTGTCTCAATCACATGGCATTTACCGCCATCTCATACATGGTTCAATTCAAAACAAGTTGGTGACAGATGTACTAAACGAAAAAGGCTTATTCAGAATTTAAATGCAATACATTTAGAATTATAGATGAAGAAAACCAGTCAGTGGAGACCCATAGGTGAGTTTGGTAGGTATAAATGAAGTGAATTTTTCTTGAGTTCAGACACTGGTATTTCAATGGTCCGGATCCGCTTGTTATCCATAATAACGCCGGGGAGTTTGGTGGAATTCACAACCTGAGGTGGACGAATGTGGAACAGAGGTGAGGTTAATGTGTATAGTCATGGTCTTGGTACCGTTGATGGTGACATGGTTGACGGCGGTCCACTTTTTGAGACTGTAATGGAGTTGTCAACACAATTCTATAATGAGCAGAAGTGTCACTCAGCGTATTGTTGATGAGATGAATGAAACAAAGAAGTACCATCTTGTTCCAGGAGTGATTGAGAGGTGGGGATGGCGGTAATCATTAAAAAAGTCAAGGCCAAGAAATTAGACCTTTTTTTGTTTTAAGTCTCAAGGCCAATGACTTTGTTTGATAATTATGTTACGGCTGACCTAAGACAAACGCCTGAGTGAACGCTACGTAAGGTGAAAGTCCGTAGCGATGTCTTGTGCTTTTTTCGATTGCTGGAGGAGATGAAGTCTAGAAAGTGGTCAAGGTGAATGGTATATTATGGTGTTTATGGTCTTTATATTACCGAGTTGGTGAAGGTTTCTGGAGCCTGAATATCCGTTTAAGCCCAGACAAATACGATGGGTCGGACTTGTTGCATGACTGTGGACTGGTCTTGTTGTTTTAGGTACAGGAGATATTATGCAATCTATACCAGTCGACCGGGAGACATTATATGCTTATCTGAGGGAAGTATTGATGACGGAGCAGGGGGAGTTTGGCTAGTTCCGGGAAGAACACCTTGTAGAACGGAGAGCCTTGCTGGTATAAATCAATGGCACTGACTCTAGCTGTCTGGCGATATTAGATTCCTTCTCTAAGGTGAGGCGGGTGAGGGAGGTAAGCTGGGAGGTAAGCTGGGAAGCAGGTAGTTCCAAGCTGAGGGAGAGTCTGGCGTACAATCTGGCATGACCATTGATTTGTTAAGCTGTATTATCACTGGCGAGGCAGCTGAGGGAGGAGTATTTTTATCTTCACTAACCTGGATAATTCCCGCATTTTACTAGTATTACCACACAACTGACTGAGACTGGTGTTACAAGTTGCCAGAATAGTCATATTTTGGGGGGAATACGTGAAGATTGGGCACCTTACCTTATTTCACCTGATGAGTAAACAACCAAACCTAACCTAAACCCCTGAGATTACGTTAGGGTGTTTAATCATCAAATAAAATAAGCTGGGCTGCCTTATCTTCACATGATATGACACTTGCTTAAAATATTTCACGCTTGACTATTTCTGAGAACCTTGTATACGCATTAGTGTTAAGGTATAGATTATAGGAGCTATAATATCACTGTTGCATAAGTCCCTTAACCCGGAGTGTGATCCAGGGCAGGTCAGCTGGGTGTAGCCTGACGGAGTTATAGGAAAGCAGAGGTGGTAAGACTTTTGTGTTGGTGTAATATGATGGGAAGGGAAGGTGTTTGAGGGTGTCGGGAGTATTTTTATGTGTTGAGTGTTATTGATCGTCATGGAGGGAGGACATGGCGTATTGGGTTAGATATAAAAGAGAAAGAAGAGGGAGGGAATGACTTGTAAGAACCGAGAAGGAAGGAAGGAGGAAGGGAATGTCTTGTAAAGGAAGAGAGAGAGAGAGAGAAAGATACTGAAGGAGGGATGAAGTAGAAAGGGAGGAAGGAGGGAGAAAAACATGGCCCATAGGGAAAAAAGGGAGAATTAGAGAAGAAAAAACAACAACAATAGGGAGAGACGGCGTGTCATATAGGGAGGGACACAGGGAGGGAAGGATGGAGCACGTGTATGGATCCTGGGCAGGGAGAGAGGGAGGGAGGGAAGGGGTGGTGGCGTGAGTCGAGGGAGTGGTGTAGTGCGGTGGTGGTGGTGGGCGCTTCTACTGCAGTGGTGACTCCTCCTCCTTCTCTACCACAGCGCCCCTGCCACACACCTCCTACTTCTCCTCCCCAGCGTCGTGTGGTACAAGTCGTCTTCGTGTGGTACAAGTGTCTGTGGTACAACAAGTGTAATAATTATGTGTTGACGTTCTGGTATAAAAGTGGTGATTTGTTGTACAGTTTTTGGTCCTCGTTATGCATTGAGTCAACCAGATTTCTCACTGAGGAATTTGCACGACAGTTGAGATGTGGTACTAGAGTATTGGTGTGTGGTACAACAGTGATGACGTGTAGTACAACAGTAATGACGTGTGGTACAACAGTGATGCCGTGTAGTACAACAGTGATGACGTGTGGTACAACAGTGGCGACGTGTGGTACAACAGTAATGACGCGTGGTACAACAGTGATGACGTGTAGTACGATATTGAAGTGTTATACAACAGTGATGACGTGTGGTACAACAGTGGCGACGTGTGGTACAACAGTAATGACGTGTGGTACAACAGTGATGACGTGTGGTACAACAGTAATGACGTGTGGTACAACAGTGATGACGTGTGGTACAACAGTGATGACGTGTAGTGCGATATTAGTGTTATACAGCAGTGATGAGGCAGTGGTAGTACAACAGTGGCGACGTGACGGTACAACAGTAATGACGTGTGGTACAACAGTGATGACGTGTGGTACAACAGTAATGACGTGTGGTACAACAGTGATGACGTGTGTGGTACAACAGTGGCGACGTGTGGTACCCAACAGTAATGACGCGTGTTACAACAGTATGACGCGTGGTACAACGGTAATGACGTGTGGTACAACAGTAATGACGTGTGGTACAACAGTGGTGACGTGTGGTACAACGAAATGACGTGTGGTACAACAGTAATGACGTGTGGTACAACAGTAATGACGAGTGGTACAACAGTGGTGACGTGTGGTACAACAGTAATGACGTGTGGTACAACAGTAATGACGTGTGGTACAACAGTAATGACGTGTGGTACAACAGTGGTGACGTGTGGTACAACAGTAATGACGTGTGGTACAACAGTGATGACGTGTGGCACAACAGTAATGACGTGTGGTACAACAGTGGTGACGTGTGGTACAACAGTAATGACGTGTGGTACAACAGTGATGACGTGTGGTACAACAGTGATGACGTGTGGTACAACAGTGGTGACGTGTGGTACAACAGTAATGACGTATGGTACAACAGTGGTGACGTGTGGTACAACAGTGGTGACGTGTGGTACAACAGTAATGACGTGTGGTACAACAGTGATGACGTGTGGTACAACAGTAATGACGTATACAACAGTAGTGACGTATAATAGGTGGAACAGACCCGCCCCACCCCCACCGTCCCCCCAACCTTTCACTCGTCGCCATTTTATACAGTTATCGTTTATGACAACCAACCTCGTTTCTTTGTTTACATAATATTGTTTTACTCATCGTATATCACATAATGAAATAATACACACCACACACAAGGGATATCATGTACGTATGTATGTATGTATGTATTAACTTTGATCACGTGTTCTCATTTCCAGGTGTGAGGACTGTCTGTCGAGCTTTACCTTGAGGTGTTGTGCGCCTTCTCCTCACCAGGTGCGATACGTACAGTACCCTAATACTCCTCACCTCTTCCCTTCACCCTCCCCTTCCCCTTCACCCTTACCCCTCCACCCTTCCCCCTCCACCCTCACCATCTTGTAATAATGAGTTACTGTCGTATAGTGTTACTCAATCACAACATTTACACCATAACCACCATTTACACCATTACCACCAGGAGCTTTGTGCACTCTCTCCAGTACAGTTTAAAGGAGGTTTATTTGACTCAACTTTAGGTCGTGAACTTGCTACACATGGAGGTAATGGTGTAGTGTAGTGTGTAGTGTAGTGTGGTGTGTAGTGTAGTGTAGTGTAGTGTGGTTTGGTGTAGTGTGGTGTGGTGTGAATCAGCTATCAAGAAAAGTTTATAATTCCTATTAATTTTGTGTTTATGGTATACTATGAAAAAGTCTTGTGTATTGATAAAAATGCAGAAGGGGCTGGCGGGCGTTCGACTGGTGTATAGCGCTCGCATTAGAATTGGAACGCCAGGCTTTGTAAACTGCTCCTACTGGTGATCTTATAACGTACATCTCCATTCTGTGTAAGTGTAGACTGTGTGTGTGTGTTGGTATACAGGGTGTGTTGGTATACAGGGTGTGTCACAGAGTATCTTATGACAAGGTTGATCGCTGGAGAGAGAATAAATGAGTCGACTTGTTTGTTTACTTTTTATCTAACTTTCTACCCTGTATAATTTGAATGGCGGTCAAACATGAAGAATTAAACAAGTGATGCGAGTGTATTAAATCATGAAGGAATGATTGTCACTTAGGTTTTGTTAGAAGAAAGAAGAAAACAAAAATTAAATATAAGAATAACAAGTTCTTTCTCCTCCTGGGATATGATGATAATAATAAACGTGATAAATACAACATCAGTATCTGGGCAAAGTTGACTGTGATGAACGTTTTGTCATGACGCCAAGGCTGCGTGGTGGTGGTGGTGGTGGTGGTGTGGCGATGTACAGTAAAGCTTTGATGTTTGTCCAGCTGGAGGAAGCAAATCACTTGTCCTTGTGGTACAACGACAACAACAATGCCACTGACAACACTTAAAGCACTTTTGTTATTGGTCAGTCTCACTTTGGTACTAATCTCTATTGGTTCCAGAATCATTGTCCATATTCTCAGATGTTCGTAAGATTAATAATATCCCTCTTAAGTCAAGACCTAAATATACACCAAAGTCCTGGCTGGTTAAACTAAAACTGACACAAAAATATTATCCTAAAATATCATCGTCTTTACACCCAAACTTTGACGTAACATTAAACAAATTAATAAATTCTCTCCAAAGTTTCTCTACCACAATTTGTTCTCCTGGCTGCTGTAGAGACAATGTATGAATAAATTGTTCTGATTAATGTAAAAAGAATGTATTTTATCCGAGTCTATAAGCCGATAGTAGTTATTTAACGTTATAATACGACAACAATTATAAAATTGTGGTAAATAGAACTCTTCCCATATCTTGTCAGCGTATGGGCGAGGCAGCTGTTGTATGGAATCAGGCAATATGTCTGATGCTGGTTGGCAGTTCACCTCTTATAGAATTCAAGGGCAGACGGTCAACCATAGCAAGGAGGACAAGGTGTTCTGTGAGTGTTTGTGTTGGTGTTCTGTGAGTGTTTGTGTTGGTGTTCTGTGAGTGTTTGTGTTGGTGTTCTGTGAGTGTTTGTGTTGGTGTTCTGTGAGTGTTTGTGTTGGTGTTCTGTGAGTGTTGGTGTTGGTGTTCTGTGAGTGTTGGTGTTTTGTGAGTGTTGGTGTTTTGTGAGTATTTATGTTTTGTAAGTGTTTGTGTTGGTGTTCTGTGAGTGTTTATGTTTTGTAAGTGTTTGTGTTGGTGTTCTGTGAGTGTTTGTGTTGGTGTTCTGTGAGTGTTTGTGTTGGTGTTCTGTAGTGTTTGTGTTGGTGTTCTGTGATGTTTGTGTTGGTGTTCTGTAGTGTTTTGTGTTGGTGTTCTGTAGTGTTTGTGTTGTTGGTGTTCTGTGAGTGTTTGTGTTGGTGTTCTGTGAGTGTTTGTGATGGTGTTCTGTGAGTGTTTGTGTTGGTGTTCTGTGAGTGTTTGTGTTGGTGTTCTGTGAGTGTTTGTGTTGGTGTTCTGTGAGTGTTTGTGTTGGTGTTCTGTGAGTGTTTGTGTTGGTGTTCTGTGAGTGTTTGTGTTGGTGTTCTGTGAGTGTTTGTGTTGGTGTTCTGTGAGTGTTTGTGTTGGTATTCTGTGAGTGTTTGTGTTGGTGTTTTGTGAGTGTTTGTGTTGGTGTTCTGTGAGTGTTGGTGTTTTGTGATGTTAGTCTGTTGGTGTTCTGTTAGTATTGGTGTGTTCTGTAGTGTTTGTGTTGGTGTTTTTGTGAGTGTTGGGTGTTGGTGTTTTTGGCATTGTGTTTTGTAAGTGTTTGTGTTAGTGTTCTGTGAGTGTTTGTGTTGGTGTTCAGAGTGTTTGTGTTGGTCTGTTCTATAGGGTATTTTGTGTTGGTGTTCTGTGAGTGTTGGTGTTGGTGTTCTGTAGTGTTTGTGTTGGTGTTCTGTGAGTGTTTGTGTTGGTGTTTTGTGAGTGTTTGTGTTGATGTTCTGTGAGTGTTTGTGTTGGTGTTCTGTGAGTGTTTGTGTTGGTGTTGTGTTGGTGTTGGTGTTCTGTGAGTGTTTGTGTTGGTGTTCTGTGAGTGTTTATGTTTTGTAAGTGTTTGTGTTGGTGTTCTGTGAGTGTTGGTGTTGGTGTTTTGTGAGTGTTTGTGTTGAACTGTTCTGCAGTGTTTGTGTTGGTGTTTTGTGATGACTGGTGTTGGTGTTCTGTGAGTGTTTGTGTTGGTGTTCTGTGAGTGTTTATGTTTTGTAAGTGTTTGTGTTGGTGTTCTGTGAGTGTTGGTGTTGGTGTTTTGTGAGTGTTTGTGTTGATGTTCTGTGAGTGTTGGTGTTGGTGTTTTGTGAGTGTTTGTGTTGATATGCTGTGAGTGTTTGTGTTGTGTGTTTGTGGTGTTTTGTGTTTGATATGCTGTGGTGTGTTGATGTTCTCTCAGTGTCGGTGTTCATGGGAGTGTTTGTGTGTTTGTGTTTTGTGAGTGTTTGTGGTGATGCTGTTTTGATAATGGTTGCTTAATTTCCATTGGTAACCAAACGACCTCCTCCTACCCACCCCTCCTCTCCCTCCCCCCACCCCCTGCCTTCCTGCCCCTGTCCCTACCATCCCACCCCCCCTCCCACCTAATACACCACCCTATTTCTGACTTTCTCATATATATTTCACATATCTGACTTTCACTCTCCCTCTTTTTCTTTTTCCTCCTTACTGTGGTCTTTTAAATGGGAAAAAATAACACTATTTTCAACATTATTTATAACATCAAGTGATAATACCAGGCGATAAACATATTAAACATCAGTGTTATTATTGATAAATATTTAGTAAACATCAGCATACGAGTTTATGTACTGTATGCTAGACTATGCAGGTATAGAGTATGTGTTTAGATAATGCAGGTAAGGTAATTTGATCAAGGATGAGCATAATGCCGAGGTGTTGACAAACCATACTTAGGGTTAGAAGCCGTCCATCATTCTCACGGTGTTGTCATCATACTCAAAAGGTTAATAAATCATCATACTCTAGGGGTTAAATCATCATACTCGAGGTGTTTTCATTATTTTCAGGGGGTTAAATCACCATACTCGAGTTGTCACATACTCAAGTTGTTGTCATCATACTCTAGGGGTTAAATCATCATACTCGAGGTGTTTTCATTATTTTCAGGGGGTTAAATCACCATACTCGAGTTGTCACATACTCAAGTTGTTGTCATCATACTCTAGGTGTTGTTATCATACTCAAGGGGTTAAAAACCTAATGGGTCTCTTTGTTATTATTACTGTGAAAGGAACCCGTGTGACGTCATATCAAAACAAGAAAAAAATAGGTTCGTATCCCTGTTATGAAGGGAAGGTATATATAGATAGATAGATAGACAATAATATATGTTTACCCCCCTCTCTTACGCCCCCACTCCCCCCCCCTCAAGGATGAGGTGTGACGTTCGTGTGTGTACGTCGTTCGTGACGGGCGCGCTGACTGCCACCACCGTCACCATCATTCTGTAAGTGACCCTATGCACCCTTACACCACCGCTGCCACCTTTACTACTACTACTGTCATCACTACTACTACTATTGTCATCACTACTACTACTACTACTACTACTATTACCACCTTTTTATGGCCTACAACCTCTCCTCCTCCACTATCCAAACATAAAACTGTCAACTCTATCTGATCTGTGGTTCAAGTCTGTTTATTACTGCACGCCATTGCTTGATCTCTCTGCCTCGTGGGATCGCTTGTGACTGAGAACGTGTTTAGCAATGTCTCAGGATGACGACTGGAGAAACACGAGGCATATCAAGAGTCAGGTATATGTATTTCAGATCTCTTATGGTCAAATTTATGTTAGTTTAGGGTGAATTACTCCTGAAATTGTGCCTTTGTACTTGAGAATACAGAAATACGTAAAATACATAAATAGAGGAACAGGTAAAATAGATAAATACAGGAACAGGTAAAATACATAAATACAGGAACAGGTAAAATACATAAATACAGGAACAGGTAAAATACATAAATAGAGGAACAGGTAAAATAGATAAATACAGGAACAGGTAAAATACATAAATACAGGAACAGGTAAAATACATAAATACAGGAACAGGTAAAATACATAAATACAGGAACAGGTAAAATAGATAAATACAGGAACAGGTAAAATAGATAAATACAGGAACAGGTAAAATACATAAATACAGGAACAGGTAAAATACATAAATACAGGAACAGGTAAAATAGATAAATACAAAACCAGGAAAATACAAAAATACAGCTACAGAGTGACCTACCCTCGCCTCCACACGTCTAGATGGACCCACCAAGGTCAGGTTAGGATAGGTTAGGTTGCATCATATTTAGATACGTTGGATTAACTTCATATCGGTTTATTAGATGTAGTTAGTTAAATTAAGGTAATGATTAGTTGAAGGCAATTGTTTGTCTTAAAATAATGTTATTCTTTATTTCATCGATATTGTGTTATTAAAATATCCCGAGACCAATCATAAAATAGATATGTTTTGTTACAATTTTAACCCATTCTTTCCCACTTGACTTTCACTTTCCTGCTGCTCACCTTTCCACTTTGACTTTCGCACCCACGCTGCTCACACTTTCCCACGCTGGCTCATACTTTCCCACGCTGGCTCACACTTTCCCACGCTGACTTCACATAATTCTACACTGTTTCAAACTCCCCTACACTGCCAAACACTAACCTACACTGTCGCACACTAACCTAATAATGGTTGTCCCTCGTGTATAAGGATGGCCGTCCTAGGGCCACCTAGGCGTGAATTTATTTAAGGTGTAGAAGCTGTCGCCAACACAACAACTCGCCAACTGCACTGGCGATTAACATCCAAGTTCCCAAATTCCCAATTACTGCTGGGTAGACAGAGGCAAATAGCATAAAGACACTTTCCTATTATTTCACCCTACCCGGGGATCAAACCCGGGTCCACTTTCTTGCGAGGCGAGCATCCTGATCATTACACCACAGGTAACCACAAAAATTTTACAATAAAAAAAAAAAGAGTCGCCCCCGGGTGGGCTCGAACCACCAACCTTTCGGTTAACAGCCGAACGCGCTAACCAATTGTGCCACGGAGGCTTGACGTAAGTCCTTACGCTGTTACATATTACTCTACAGTGTCACATACTAACACACTCGCACTACCTTATACTGTCGCACATTATCTTAAACTATGATATAATAATACTACACTAACCCACTCCATCCCTGAGTACCTACAGTGTGTCCGTGATGATAATGTCTGTGATTATAGTGTCCGTGATGGTGTGTGTGCTCCCCCTTCAGGTTGCGTGTGTTACCGGGGACGTACGTGGTGTTGCCGTGTGACCCGACCATCACCGCCAGGCCCGTGGCTCTCGACGACTATCTCGACCGCTTCGACCTCCCTCCCCAGCAACACCTCGACCTAGGGCCCCAACAGCACCTTGACCAGAAGGGACCTCAACAATACCACGACATCCGGGCCCTCCATATTGAACTGGGCCCTCAACAACCTCCACACGACCCGGGGCCCCAGCATGTTGATTTAGGGTTCCAGAAGCACGATCCAGGGTACCAACATGTCAACTTGGGGTTCCAGACTCACGATCAGGGCCCCCAGTATGTCAATATAGGGCCCCAGCGCCACAGTCTCGGGCCCTGGCAACTTGATCTAGGGCCGAAACGCCTCGACCTGTCGCAGAAAGACGAGAGCAGCCAGTTGTCAGCTGTTCCCAAGGGTCTACAGCTCGAACTACAGCAGCTACTGCTTAGAGAACAGAGGGGAAAGGAAACAGCTGTTCGCCGCCACCAGAACAAACAACAACAGCATCAACAACAACAACAAAAACAGCCTCAACAACAAGAACAACAACAATACCAATACTACAAAGGTTACGAACTACAACAACAGAAACAGCTTCAACAACAACAACAACACTACAAAGGTAACCAACAAGAGCAAATGGAACAGCAGCAGAAGTTAACAGAGGAAAAAAAGATAATGGTGCATCCTTATGACTCCTCTGATGTTCACCTGCCTTCACAACAACAACAACAACAACGATTAATGAGATCGTGATAAGCATTCGAACAACAACAACAACAATAACCACCACCACCACCACCATTACAGCAACCACAATACTTAATAAGAAAATTAATAGACACTTGAACATCTCTCTCTCTCTCTCTCTCTCTCTCTCTCTCTCTCTCTCTCTCTCTCCTACATCACATTCAAACTTACAAAGAGTGATGAAACTAAACCTCACTTACAAAATACAAGGGGCAAAATTCCATCAGTACGTCACTCTACCGACACTATACCCACTGTATCTACACTATAATGCACTGTAGTCTGGGTACCGAGTAAGTCTGTAGGAAACGTGGTGATGAGATATCTATACTCTGGTGCTTTTATCCCCTTCAGGAGGTCCAAGTTTGTCCTGTAGTTTCACCCTCAGTAATGGAAATACTCACTGTATATATTTTTTCACGAGATCCCCTGTAGATTAGCTCCACCTCCTCCTAGTTTATTTTTTTTCTTCATATTAACTAACATAAGCTAATCTATCATAACCTAACCTAACATACCATAATACAATGTAACCTAACCTAACAACATATATCCTAACCTAACATACCATAGCACAATATAACCTAACCTAACAACATATATCCTAACCTAATCTAACCTAACCTAACCTAACATACCATAATACAATGTAACCTAACCTAACATACCATAATACAATATAACCTAACCTAACAACATATATCCTAACCTAACCTAACATACCATAATACAATATAACCTAACCTAACAACATATATCTAACCTAACCTAACATCCACCGCCAGCCTGTGCTTAGCTAACCTAACAACATATATCCTAACCTAACATACCATAGCACAATATAACCTAACCTAACAACATATATCCTAACCTAATCTAACCTAACCTAACCTAACATACCATAATACAATGTAACCTAACCTAACATACCATAATACAATATAACCTAACCTAACAACATATATCCTAACCTAACCTAACATACCATAATACAATATAACCTAACCTAACCTAACCCCCTCAGGTACCATAAGGGTATTTAAATATCAGGTGAAATAAGCTTAATGGGGAGACTAATCCTCAGGTGATCTGTTCAATACAATCATATAGAGGCTGACTGAGAACACATCCAATATTGCACTAAGGCACAGTCGTATAGTACAAGCTACCTGCACACTAATACCAGGTTGTAATTAGAGTTGTTTTAGTGTGGTATAGTGGCGCCCAGACGACCATTGGTATTACGCCATTACAAATATGATTCTGTAGCTGTTATTAGAATTTGTACTCCGTTGTTTTTTGTTTTTGTTTTTGCTGATTGGAATAAACTTATTGTTATTATTATAAGTATTGTTATTAATTCTAGTATACTTTTTGTTATTTTTATTATTATTTAAGGAAATCATGACAAACACTACAACAATAATGACTATTAAAATATAATATGATAGAGATCTTTACAACAATAACATCAATGATAACAACACTTATAGAAATGGTTGTTGTTGTTGTAAGGTTTTTGTAACAACACTTAAAACATATAATAACTATTACGGTACATAAGATAACTGGACTATACATAACAACTGGAGTAACTTATTCTAACTAAGACAGTCCCTTCCTTCCTATCCCTCTAGTCCTTCCCGTCTCTCCCGTCCCCCCTGTCCACCCGAACGTCGACACTCGTGAAGGGTCTTCCCGAGCTCTGACGTGAAAAGCAAAAAAACTTTAAAATTTCTATTTATTTAGAATGCTATGTGTAAATCCCTCCCAACCTCCCCCCCCCCAACTAACTCTCTTAATAAAACTACTTAATTCCCTAAACCTTGTGGTCGGCCTCTTGCTGGATATTCTCATCTGCCCCGCGCACCAGAGGCTCACCTGGTTAAAAATATACACTAATGAAGGCTCGGATGAATTACACTGTGAGTCCAGGAGTTGCCTCGCTCTCACAGGTGTACAGGGGGGCACAAACTACTGCCGGCTGAACAATACATCTTGGATCGTCATAGCAACTGGAATTCACATTGACATAGAATACAGGGCCTCTGGACAGTTGGCCCCATAAATGAGCACTGCGGGATATATATGGCTTGTATATATCCCGCAGTGTTCATTTCTGGGGCCAACTGTCCAGAGGTCCTCCTGCTTCGAGCGAGGACAAACAACTGCGTCTCAGGGCCGACATAAAGCTATACAGGTGATGAGGGAAGCACTGAGAGTGTGTGGGGTGATTGTGAAACTTCACTACTGGCTAGAATATTTTAGGGAGAGCGGATCATATCTCAGTGTTTGTCAGGAAGAGTAAAAGTGACTCTCAGTGAGAGTATGACAGCATCAGGGATGTGTAATGTTGCTGTGTTTGTTTAATGTTATCAAGGGCGTGGTGGTAAGGCAGGTGAAGGCCAGCGTGACGGAGGAGGTGCAAGTTCACTGAATAATGAAATGGAATATAAATGTGTGGTGATTCAGCTGCTGTTTACAGGTGAAGCTTCTCTTGTGAACGATTTCGAAGGAAACCCAATAATGTTTACAGAGTAAAATGATGATGATAACTAGGGAAGATATAATATATACAGTATGTTAGTAGGGATGGAGATAAACTGGACTCATGGAGTAAGTAGAAAATTTCCCGCATCTGGGAGTGGAGGTGTCGATAAATGGAACGATGAGATTTTACACACACACACACACACACGTAAAGACGACAGCTAAGGTGCTCCGTTGTTTCCCTTTTCCCGTGTGATTTTATCAATAATATATATATATATATATATATATATATATATATATATATATATATATATATATATATATATATATATATATATTGGCAGAAACGCCGCCCTCTGGACGGCTCATTCTCTAGGCCACGGTAGGACGCCATCCTCCGAGAGGCTCCACATTGTCTCACTGTTCAGTCCCCAAAACTTCTTCTTCCATCAATAGTTCATTAACGGTGTCTGTAAGTTCCAACATGTTTTTCACTACAACGGTACAACAAAGTATATTTTTTTAGCATTAAACTGTAATTATTTTATTGTCTAATCATCACTACATATAACACCACCCATCATCACTACATATAACACCACCCATCATCACTACATATAACACCACCCATCATCACTACATATAACACCATCCATCATCACTACATATAACACCATCCATCATCACTACATATAACACCACCCATCATCACTACATAACACCATCCATCATCACTACATATAACATCATCCATCATCACTACATATAACACCACCATCATCACTACAGATCAGTAAAGTAGTTTCCGAGATTCTCGTGCGGACACAGACAGACTTCTTTTGCTTATATAGATAGATAATATATATATATATATATATATATATATATATATATATATATATATATATATATATATATATATATATATATCATCCGAGTACAAAAAGTGTCAGATACCTTTGATCACTTGAAACTTATATAAAATGAATTTGATATAGAAAAATAATGAACTACGGAAATTGGATAACGATATTAATATTAAGACAAGTTATCAAGGTTATAATTCGCAAAATAATGTAATATAGTAATGTAATGAAATTCCGCTATAAATTTTGGCATGGTGGGCGTAATGGGAGCAGAAACCCAGTAAGGCACCTTCCTATCCTGGCCAGCGAGCACAATTATTTGGCAAGTGTTTGAACTGACGCCTCAGGTTTCTGCCGCCAGAATATGCGGAGAACATTCTACCACCACCTCTCGGCTACACTTCTGAAAAAAGAAAGACGTAAGTGACCAAAACACTAATTCTCAAATATTTTCATTTTACAATATTGCTCACATTTACTGTACGAACTTTATTACGTTAATGTGGAGACTGGTAGTGCAGGTAGAGTACCACGAACGGGGACTTTTTAACCAGTGATCCTGGCTGTTATTTTTTCACCATTGCCCGATTTTACATAGAACTTGATCATTTGACCCGGAATGAAAAAAAAGTGACATGAGGGTCAGCTGGGGAAAGTAATTACGACATACTGTAAGTGTGTACTAAGCCTTCGATACTCAAGGTGGCTGCATAACCGGCACTGTACTCGACTGCATTCACTCACCAGCTGTAAAGTTAGATAACCATTTACATCTGGGTGGACTGAGAGTGCCCCGGGATCGAACCAGGTGTAATGATTGGTAAATAAACACCTGCTACCACCCAGGGTCCAGATTCTCTGAGACTACTTGAAAGACGAATAGACCTTACTGGCTAACTAAAACTAAAGCACAAAATTAACATTACAATCACACCTATTATACCTTCACTATCATTTAACACCAATGAGGCGATATTATCATCCTACAGAATTATTTTAAACCTTCTGTGTGATAATGTTTTGTTAATCATATAATTTGATGGAGACGGTAAATAAACATGGCCCGCGGCCTTTCGAGTGGGCTGGTGATGATTGCACAGATAGTGACGAGCGGAGACGAACCAATTTACACCGCTTTATTCTCTTAATTTTTTATTGTACTTGTTTGGCATATGTCAGTTGATGAGTGTCTGTACCGATAAATTAATTATCTACCCTCAAAGTTTTAAATAATCATAAATAAACAATAAGATGAAGGGAGGTTTTGCTGTAGTGTCTATCAACTAGAGTTATATTTGCATTATGTTTAATTGTTGATAGACTATTGTAATTACCTAAGATGTTGAGGCATAGTGATGACATAAACTCAACGTCAAAGTGTCAATCAGTGTTGTTTTAAACGTCGTTATCTTGTGTATGGTGAAACTTTGCCAGACATTTTCCATGCAGAAATAACCTTCTCTTCCCAGCAGCAGCCGCCCAGAGGCAACGGCGGGTTTGCTCCACTGGTTGCGCTCCTGAGGAAGTTTGTTTACAGACGTCTTTTGTTGTGGCCAAAATGTTTACTTTATCTAGATTAGAAAATGCAAAAAAAAAAAGTCTTATCTACGCCATGTCCAGTAGCTGCATTATAGGCGAATAGTAATGTGATCCAGGAAACAAACTCTGGAGCATATTTCCCTATGTCCGTCCTAGTCAATCTCAACTCTTGGCGCACACGGTGGCTTAAGTCTCCCAGACATAGCGGTGCCACGGGATGTATATTTTAAATAAGTACAAACATGCCCATGAGTTATTAAATGGTTATTCTATGTGTCATGAATATTTTAATTTTATACATTTATTTCAATGATAAATGCTGTATTGTATATGGTGTGTAATCAAACCTGAATAATACTAACAAACATAAAACTTACTTGACCCTCCCACTCGACCATAGATGCTGGCAGTGTGTCCATATTGCCTTATAATTATTGACTACTGCCCACAATATTATCTATGGAAATTGCGCTGATTGAAAATATATCGAAAAGTAATAATGGCACTGTAAGAATAAATAAATGTCTCCTTTCAATGAGGCATAACTTCATGCTAAGCAAATAATGTGTTTGTACATTGTCGTAAACATTCAGTACAGTACAAACAGTGTTCCTAAATACTGTACCCTGGACACAAACAAGTTGCTCATCGCTGCACACGTTGTTC